TCGTGCGAAGTCGCACTATTAGCGGTAAGCAAGAGTGATTTTAGTGGAAAGTGTGTAGTCCACTGAACTATCACAGAGTGATAGACAGCTTGGAAGATTTTAGGGCAAATTAGATAATTTTTCACGAAGTCTGGTTCCAACATTATGCCTGCCCGCTACTCTGATGTTGGATAGTGGTGTCTAGCTATTCGCCTCTCTGTCCTGGACGAACCATTGAAAGCCAGTAGCTGTAAATGACTACATCGTTCGGTGTGGATGTAGGAAGGAGTATCTAATTTCAGCTGTGGTGGACACAAACAGTAGATGAGAGTTTTGTACGTTTGCTAAGGCCAATGCAAATTGAAGACATTAATATTCGTCAATAGTAGTCACCGACTGTAGTAGTCCTTTAAAGTCGATCGGTAGTTGTCCTGGACAACCTTGACAAGTTTGCCTGCTATTTAAAAAAATAGACCGTTTGATATCACGCCAGGTTGGATTTTTAAAAACGATTTTACGAATCCTTTATTGAATAAGGGGATTCGTAACTTGGACAAAATGTGATTGGGATGGCAGTGATTTGTTTAGTCTCTTCAGAACAACGTTTGTTATTACGGCCACATAGCGACGGCGAGTAAGCGTGTCCGCCCTCGGTTTGAAGTGTCAAGTTCGAGTGATAACAGCTCCAATCGTCGATCTTGCCCTTTAACGTCCCTTTTGTTGATTACCATACAGGAGGTTGATCAGTTCTAAGTTTGAAGTGATTACTGGGGAAGTAGGTATTGCATTTTCCGTATGAATTGCACGACCGTGTTCTTTTGTTTTTCGCCCGTGGGATGATATCGACCTTTTATACATAGACTAGACAAACCACTGATTCAGCATGTTGGCAACCGCAACATTTGAAGCCTCATCTTCGACTACCAATAGTCTCTTTTACTGAATGGTAGTGATTGTGGCTTTTTAAAGTTTCGTCTTAAGGCCTTCGAACTTGTCTTTACCTCCAGTGATAGATAGGAAGCTTTCCCAAATGAATGGAAGTGTTCGTGTTCCAGGTATTTGCACAAACAAGGAAGAAGATGTGTCGAGCACCGGGTCGATTGGTTTATTGTGCTGAGCTTTCAAACTCTTACAGGAGTCCATCTTTAGATATAAGGAGCAGCAATTAATTATAGTGGGCATAGGCCAATCAATCGTCAGATGTCATCAGGTCGTCAAGGCGTAAGAAACATCAACCAAAAATGATGGGGGGGCAATTATAGTGGTATACGCTAATTTACTGTCTCACAGTTTGCAGCACACGTCGGATGGACTGGCCAAGACTTCAATCTTCAAGGAGCAACTATCGTAGGCCAAGGAACCTCAAAAGCCGATAGGCTGACGCTTGAGGCACAGTAGTCAGATGCTAACTCCGTTAACAGGCATCTAGACCTCTCCGCGGGCTACAAAGTCTTACGCCATTACGTGAGCACAAAACAGAACAAGGCCAAACCGAACGTAAGAATTGCAAGCGAACATGAGGTAGAATCACAAGGAACCTCTACCGTTGGGACAAGGCGTTACAATAATTGCTGTTTATGATCCCGAAAGACCCCAGACTTTACTGACAGTTAATTAGCGTATGCCGCTATAATCCCCCCCATCCTTTTTGGTTTACGTTTCTTACGCCTTAACGACCTGATGTTATCTGAAAATTGATTGGCTTACGCTCACAATAATTAACCTCATTTTTATTACTGCTCCTTATCTCTGAAGATAGATTCCTGTAAGAGTTCGAAAGCTCAGGACAATAAACCAAATTATCCAGTGCTCGACACGTCTTCTTACTTGTCCATAGGAAACTTTACTGCGCACAATCAACTACATTGCCTCTGAGAAATTAGCTCTCCGTTGTAAATAGTAAGCTAGTTATTGTGAGTTTGGATCACGCAGCTGCCACTTAATTCAAGGTCTTTAGTCAGTACTGATCAATTTCGGAACGTTCTTGCGCTTTAGCCTCCCTTTGGACAGGTAGTTTCTCCAGCGCCTTTCGTGGGACAGGTCAGTTTGCATCGAGTGTTGCTTGCCAGATGTTTCATTTAGGACACTAAAACAACGGTCTCCCTTGCACTACTTCCCAGGATGCTTAGGGTTAACATTGTGACTCGATAATATCTACTTCTCCTGGAATTTTGCGGATGACCATAAGGTAGAAGACTCCTATTTCCGTGTCTTAGCGATCTCTCACCTTCCACCTACTTTGAGCCTTCCGTCCTCCGCGCGGATTTTTCTTTGTAAATACATTAGTCGCGTTGAATGGTCATCGAATTCTCTAGTTTTACGTCAGCCACTCCATAGTTTTAGGGCAATCTCCGAACTATGTAGATCTGAGCGTTGAGGTCGCTAGCTGGCACGTTAATGTCAGGGGGGATTCCACCTCAGGTAAGATTCTGTTCCAAAAGGCTCACTTTCGTTTATCAAATAAAGTGAATTTTTCGTTGGGACCATCGTCCATTTAGTGCATCTGATGTTTTGTTTTTTAAATACTAATTTAACATTTTTCGCATCTCTGTCTGCAGCACCATGAAAAATCGCAGCAAGAACAAGAAGAAGCAATGGCGGCATCTTCTGACAGATCTTGCTTCTGATCTACACGTAACCAGTCGTAAGGCTGAGATGTGAGTCAGGAACACGGTCCGTCATTATAATAACCACTTCTAGCTCCTCGGGCGACTTTTCTATAAAACAGAAGAACAAACTCAAAGGTAGGCCCTATAGCTGTTTGCATGCTCAAGTTGAAATCAGTTCAAAAGGGTGACAAGGAGGCTGCCAAGCAAAATCCCGACATTCCAACCGCTGTATCCATTGTCCAAAAGTAAGCTTCCGCCCCCGTCCTATACTATCTGCCTAGAACTCCCTTCCGCCGTGGCAAGGCCGCAGTCCGGGCTTCAGTTGTAGACGTGTGGGAGGAAGGAGCGCCGACGCCGAAGCCAAAGCCTCCGGCAACTAAAACGACAGCGGAAAGCAAGGTATGTCCATCGCTTGTCACATACTCACGCACAGACCACGCGTCTCTTTCTAGTTCGCTCCCCTGACCTGTGTAGCCGGCCAGTCCTACAATCCCAGCATTGTTGACCACCAGATGCTGCTCTTCCAGGCAGCCCAAGATGAGGTCAAACAGTTGGCCAAGGAGGAGCCACAGAGGCCTAAAAAGCGTCGCTGTCGCACTGCGAAGGACAGAAAGGTACGGTATCATCTCGCTTTCTTTTATTGCTCTATCTCTCTCTCTCTCTCCTTGAAGAATCCTAAAGCCAGCGCCGTTGCCCTCAAACCCAAGAAAGCCAAGACTCCGAAACAGAAAGAAAAACAAATGCACACGGATCTGGACAAGTACGTGACTACTGTGCACTTCTCCTGACCTAACTCTCTTTCTTTCCTCCTTTCTCACAAAAGTATTCCAAAGATTTTGAAAGAAATTAAGAGGGAGGAAAAGGAGAAAACCCTGAAGCGACTGATGAAGGACTCTCTTGCAACCCTCAGGAAGTCAGAAAAGACGCCCAAGTTCCCACTCGCTTTCCAACTCCCCGGCGAGATGTCCTCCACTCTCCGGAAACTCAGGGTGAGCGACTTCAAAAAAAGGAGGCCAGTGGTTTTGTTTGGCATCAGCCAGTCACCCAACCCCAGATGTAGAGCACCTGAGATTTGAACCCGGCATCTTCGATCATAAATTCTAGCGCCTCACGAATGAGCCACGGGCCCGTTGTCCCGTTGTGTGGTGATCGGGAATATGAATTATGGTAAATGGGCGCTCACCGTTCGGTTTACGGAACGTGCTCGGCCCGTCTAGAGCCCTTGTGGGCAGTCGCATAGCCACCAGATGATATATTTATGTAAGGGGGTACCGAAACCGGGACCTTTTATCATTAGGTCCAACATAAGCATTGGGCCACGGGTATAGCTGGCTGATTGCGGCTAATAAGCCAGAACTGACCATTCCGGCCTCTCTTCTGTGTGTCGTAGTCCATTGTTGGATCAGGAGTCCCTGCCGGAATCCAAGCTGGTAGTAGTTGGAAGACGGAGAAAAGCCGCGGCCTCAGCCGGTTTGAGGCAAAGGTCCATGGGGGTGAGTTGGGTGCCTGGCCGGGAACTGCAGACGAACAGATACTAACAGTCATGCGGAGAAACGCCGCAGTCGGGATAGCAGTCGAGTATAAACTGGTCGAGCCGGTATTGATACTGGCGAAGGAGCATTGAGTAGCCACTGCGTAGTTGAACCAGAGTACAGTGAGTGAGTTGTTGCTCTGAGACCGCGATTGGAGGTGTATAACCGCCCAAAAGGACCGGGGAATGGTAACCTCATTTTCCCTTGACAATGACTCTCTGGTGAAGACGCTGGAAACCCGTCTTGGTGGTAGATCCGAGAGACATGAAGCGACAGCTTCCTTGTGAAGAGCTCTAACAGACGGCCGAACGTTGTGGCTGGGTTCAGGAGCGTGGCAACGGTGTTGATTAGGATGGCCGGGTTGCGAATAGGTCCACCAGAACTGTTGGTTCTCGTCTGAAATACCAGGCTCACTTGTAAACAGTGCACTTGCCACGATGGGATTCGAACCCACGATACCTGGCTCGATGACCAGAATTAGTGGTTTCCGTACGTTACTGTGGGCTGGGCAGGTAAGGTGACACAAATGGGATTAAACTCTCAACTCCTGCGCGGGGCCTCAGGACTCAAGTGGTTAGAACATTAGCTGCACCCAAACTGTTGTGGGCCCTAATCCCACAGGGGCCGCCGAGTTTTTCACAATTGGATCGAACGAATAATTCAAGTCTTACGGCGAACGTTCGCATTTCGAAAGAAGTTTGTTCGCTCACCGGACAAACCCCTACAATTTGAAGCACTGTTTTCCTGGAATAAGTTTTGGTAAGACCAAAATGACAAGCTATACAGAATTTATTGACGTCATACAATTTCGCCACCTTTTATTCAACTGAGTACGGTCATTGTGTATTAATAAGGCAAGATAAACTGCGGGTCGGTATAGGTAGGGGGAGGAGGGATGTGGGCTCATTTAAGCAAGTCAGTTCAGATTACGGTTAACAAAAAACCTGTAGAGCATGATTAAAACTGCAGTTGGCGGGACAGTAGTCAGTCATGCAGGGGCGACGAGAAGACGGCAGAAGGGATGGGGTTACGTCCCTCATCAATCCTAATCACAGTAATGCGAGCTTGATCACGTGATCCAGCTGCTTGCAGAGTTCTGGCTTACTCCGTATTGTAGCGGTCTCTGCAAAACCCAAGACCCACCCAGTCGTCGCCCGCAGTCAGGGGGTCGACCGTATGGTCAGTGTCTACTAGGTGTTTTGTAATTGAATTATTCATTACCTTATTTTCTGCCTTAACCAGCCTCTTCGGCATATGTTCCGCTGACCGACTTGCCAACTCTCTTTACGTGTGTACAATATTTTTGAATCCGCAACCACATTTAAACTCAAAAATACGGTTTGGTGTGACGTGCAAAAGCAGAATGTCTTTGGTTGGTCTAACTGAAATAGTCATTGTAATACTTATGAACAGCAATTTAGAGGTGGTGCACTTTCGTTCACTCGTGCATCGAAACTGTCGCTTGATAACGTTTGGCACATTATCGCCGTTGTGTGTTCTGTTGTGTGAGTGGCGGACTGCGAGTCAGGCTGTGGTGGTTGTTTCTTAGTGATACGTTTATGGCACTCCCACTCAGCTGGGATCTGAGCCAGGTCTGGCAGCACTCTTAGGGACGGCTGCGACAGCCACCGCGGTGGTCTTGACACCGAGCACATGTGGGTGCATTTTGTTGCCGCTTTTATCTCTGATGATAGCCTCTAGCAAGAGTTCGAAAGCTCAAATGAATGGAGACGTGATTCTGGGAAGCGAAGAACCTTATTCTTCTTATTTACGTATTATTCATTTCTTTCAAAGCACCCGTTAGTACATGTCTGCATTTTCAGTCCTCTAATGGCGTCACTTATCTTTGTTATGTTGTCTTCTTTCTTCAGGCCGACGATAATTGGACGCGAGAGGTGGAATTCAGGCGAAATAAACTCCCCAGGGCCCGCAAGACCCTTGGCATTACCAAGGCAACAACTCCCTTTGTACGTAGAAAATAAAGCCCTTTCCCAAACCGAATATACCGTTGCGTTTTAATATGCTTGAAGGTGTACCTTACGTGGACACTATAGAACCGCTGAGGCTGAGCAGGTTGTTCTGGTAAAAGCTAGAGGAAACTGAAATCACCAGAAGAAAAGGAGGAGCATTCGAGCATGTTTAGTGCATATGAGTATTCGTGGGTATGAAGGAGTTTTACGGAGTTTCTATTAGTCAGTTTTCGTTACCGGTGCCCGGACCGAGGACTTGGTGCATTGGAATGTGAGAGCTTTGACCACAGAAAACTCTGGTGACTAAATTCTACATCCTCGAGCCTCTGTAGACAGTAGTTTTGATAGTCAGATAGAAAAGGAGTGAAGCAGTCTTATTTCTCTCACACACCACGTACATCATACAACAGCAGCTGAAATTATACCTGTAGATAGTTGATTTACTCAGTGGCTTAATGCAAGAACTCCACATTAGACTGGTTTTTTGTGACTACGGGAATGGCCCGATTAGAAAACGTTTGACGGTGCTTTTTGGAATCAAGAACTAGAGGTAGTTGCATTCTGTTGGCACGACATATTAATGACGTTGTGTTATAGGGAATTCACAGATCAGAAGTCGGAGAAGCAAAGCCTTGTGGATAATATTATTGTGTTGGGAATGCTTCCCAGTAACCTACTGATAACAAACACCGTCAGGAGTGCATATCTCACCCTGACTAGAAACCCTTTAAGCTCGGGGCACTAACCAGCCACTCGGCGGTAAATTGAACTTTTACGGAGAGACTACTGACTGCGGACACTAGCAGTTGGTAGGGTTTTGCAGTGGCGGGCCTAGGCAGGATTCGAGCCTGTGCCACCACAATATCCCTATGGTGGTGTGATTTGGCGTTCCAAGCGTCGTTCTCGC